CACATTAGTTCAGCCATGGTTATAGTACAACTTGTTGGTTTTGTTTTAAACGTGGTAAAACATGGTTATGTGTGATAAAAGTATGTTAATCTATTTGTATGTTTGTGAAAATATGAATAAATCTTCAACTGTTATTGAGAGTGGTGTGTCGTGTTTATTATAAATAAGCAGCTGCTGCAGCTAGTGGTCCATAAGTATGAGCAAAACGCCTGAGAACAGCGCCTCCGCGGCGCGGCCGGTATTTCCGGTTGCGTCGTCCTAACATCGGCCGGACAGCGTTTCCGATCATTTGCCGACGTCGCGGCGACATTTTGCCAATTAGCAAACGCTCCCTGAGCGACATCGCACCGATGGAATTTTGAAAATCGGCACGACGTCGGCCCAACGTATGTGTGCTGTCTGGGCAGTTAACCAAACAGCGAGTTAATCTCCTATTAAAAAAAAATCTTATTATATATATATACACACAATTAAACCATATTACCAAAAATAGCAATCAGCAAAGGAAAGCTGGTGAAAAGGATACCGTGTGATAATAGGATCACGTTAACATTAGAGCTGTTAATAATCGGTTTAAAGAATGGGGAAAGAAAAGAGAAAGCAGTGACCGGCGCCGCTGCTGCTCACAAAAATACATTTATTTTAAATCTGGAGCTCTTGAAAGCAGCAGGTCTGCAGATTCACAAGCATCACCTTTTGTCCAGTCGAGTTTAAAGAGAGCAGATCGCACCAGGTGAGTTTTCAGGCACGGTCGCTTCGCGGAAGAAAACGGGAGCGCGCACGCTTTGTAAACAGCCGCTCGCATCACATGACCTGTGCGCGCGAGTGATCTTTCTTCTGCTCGCGTGAAGACAGTTGTTTTCATCAGTCCTGCTGCTGCTTCTCGATTCTAAGATCACATATGCATACTGGGCTATCTTTATTGTCAAACCCTGCTTTTAAGAAAGCTACAATTTGAAAAGTGTTTCCCGCCAGGAGCGTCTGTCTTACCCGCCGCTGCTGAAATATATACATCCGCATTCTTCCTGTTTACGGAAGCTCTGCTTTCACTTTCGATTTCGTGACTGTTTAAAGTTTATTTTGTGCTGAATGATGTGAAATTATCAAGTCAACCTGATATAGAAGAGCACAAACACTTTTAATAGATAAAAATAACCCACTATATTGTTAACATAACGTGCTTTCACCGTGTTTGGTTTGAGGTTTTGAGCTTCAGGAGCAGACAGTGCTATAAATCACGCTTATAAACACGCTTATACACATATAAACCCTTCATCATCTCCACAAATCAGCATAATGTAGAATTGTTAAACTCACCTGCAGAAGTACAGACGCTCTTGTGCAACAGGAACACAATCTGAGCTCTTTCACTTCACTAAAACACACCTGTGTGATCTACAGGTGTATCCTGAAATAATATTGGCTCCACAGAGCGGTGCTTACATGAATATTCATGAGATTCTCCTGATTGTGGGCGTGTCTTCAAGACAACAAACCGCTGAAGATATCTGTGCAGATTCTCAGAACTCGAGTGTGTTGAAGGAGGATTTTGAGAAAGTTTCAAGAAAACAAATGAGTATTGGAGCTATAAAATAAGAATATAAATAACATTATGGGTCTATATATGAATACAGCACTTACAGATCTCTGTGTTAGTTCATATATTCTATAGGACACTTTACAATAAGACCAACATTAGATCAGTCAGTACTGGAACTGATATAACAAGCAACTCAAGATGATCAGGATGCTGAAACTAGCACAGAATATTACTGTTAGATACAAAATTAGCTGAGCCCAGTGAATATACAAGGGAGAATCACATCAAGTGTTAATAAAGATGAAGAATCAAGAGAAAATAAGACTTTAACTTCAGCTGAAATGTTGTTTTATTCAATATCTCATTTGACTTTACATTAGAATTCAGTTTTCTTTATCAAATACAAACTCATACACACGACAATATCCAGTGAAATGTTTATACGACCAGCCATGACCTTAAAGACAACAAGATTATAAATGAGAAATAAATGACTGAATGAAATAAGAAATAAAATATAGACAAACTTTAGCCATAGGAAATATATCTGTAGAGAATAAAATAAACACATTAAAACCCGTGGCTATACAACTGTAGAGAACTTTAGCTGTAAACTGACTCCATGTACAGTGACACCATAACTGAACTGAACTAGAATACACACAGAGATGTGTGTGTGTGTGTGTGTGTGAGTGGAGTGTGTAACTGTGGCTGAATGTGCAGATGTGTCCACAGACGTGCTGAATGTGTGTGTGCTGTGTGTGTTGTGATTGAGAGAGCGTCTGGGGTCCGTTCTTCGTACGTGGATTACTCAATTAGCTGGATTTGGATGTTGACGCTTTGACACGATCCAGGATCGTTTCGTTCTTCAAAGCTGATCCGAAAGTTGTTGTCATAGCAACAGTTCTGCTAGGTCAAACCTAATCGGGAGAATATCCTAAATGTTCTTCATCTGTCATTTCCAGGAAATCTTCATCAGTGCGAAGGGGGGCATTCATTTCAGGGAATATCACCCTATTGCTCAAATATTCGCCTTCCTGCGTACATTTCTCACACCCCGAGTAGCCTGTGTGCCCTTTTATATTTTTCAAAAAAGCTCGGGCAGGAGCATCACAGACCATTGAGCACAGTTTGAGCCTCATTGATATTCCCTGAAATGAAAAGCCTTTCTCCAACAATGAAGTTTCAGCCACAAAATCTTCCAGGTATTCGGGAAGGCTTGCTGGCTTGCTAGTGCCAAAGAAAAGCCCAATTACAAATGGGTGATGCGGAGGGAGGTTTTTGATGACTCCAAGAATGGGCCAGAATTGGGTGGATGAACTTTTAAATACTGGCAACCCATCCACATTTGCTGGGAGCTCTAAGCATAAGCCAATCCACATTTGTTTGCCTCCAAAGTGTTCTTCATTGAATTCAGGATACCAAAATAATGGTATGTCCCACCAGCCTTTTCCTGGACCACCACTGACTCTGACTGAGAGGTCCTTAGAAGAGTCCTTGCATCAGATGGCAATGATGGATGATGCTCCTTCAGTATTTCTAATAAATTATTAATTGCACTGTGTTATGTTTTCTTTGAGTGCCCATGTTGCAAGTTTGCTTTGTAGATAAGCTTCCTCTTCCTCGTTAGAGCTGCTGTTTTCAGACTGTGAAAAATCTAGCTCCTAGGCAAAGATGATTCATAGTCTGGGAATTCCTCATCTAGATGTTCGGAATTGTAAATTGGTAGACTCTCAGCATTAAAGGAATTATCAGAAGCACACTGAACTGACTTCAGTTGTTGTTTTACCCTTTCTCTAGATTTGCGTTTTAAAGTCCAGTAAGAGGGTGTATTTGCCATACTTAAGAGACACACACAAAACAAAAAAATACAAGACAAAGAAAACAAAGGACACAACAAGAAATGACCATGAGTAACACTATGTAGTAAATACTGTGTAGTTGTCAGATAAAAGATATAATTACAAAGTCAGAGATGACCTTAAAACCTTGTAGTTTTAACAGCTGTTAAGAAACAGAAGACACATGAATGAGTAGGCCTCTAAAAAGTGTCATAGCTTTTAACAAAATTTTAAGCAATTATATTAAATAATTTAAACTGGATGTGCAGTCTTGTTTTAACTTTTAATTATTTTAGGATAGATTTTTTACTCTAAGTGGTCCTGCTATTCTTGGCTCTTAGCCAGCTTGCTATGGTCAGCGAGATGTCACAGATCTATGTCATGTCAGCAACTGTTTTGAAACCAAAGTTCTCTCTCCATAGATACAACTTATGCAAAAGGAACTAAGTGTTTACATACATTGTCATAATAGCATAATCACTTGATAACATGTTACTCATTCTAACTTCTGACACATATAGCTTCACACAAGTATTTAACATATATAATCAGTGCTTTACATATTCAGTTATTCTACACAATCAGTCACTCAGCCTTCTCCTAGTGTTGCTCCTGTGCTGGCATACTCTTCTTACACAGACATATCACTGTATTTTTAACACAGGCTGGCATGTTTGCTGCATACATTTTGAGAAGAGAAAATTAACTGCTTTACACTCAGAAAATACTTCACACAGAGAGAATAAAATCTTCAGTAACAGCTCCGTTTTGATAATCGTTTTCACCAAGTCTTGGATATTATTTACTTCGCTTCCTTCCGGGATTCCAAAAATTCTAATGTTATTTCTACAAGAGCATGTTTCTAGAGCATGTTCTCTTTTTCTCTTTGGATAGACTGATCGAGCATTTCTTTCATCTGAGCAACGTTCTCCAATTCTCCCAACTCGCTGCTCCACTTTGTTGACCTTTTCTGCCGTTGTGTTTAGGTCCATAAAAAGGCCATCCAGTTTTTGATTTACTTCTTGTTTAAAGTTACTTAGTTCCATTTTCACTTCTTTTGTGAGAGAATCTTGGAAGGCGGTTAAGTCAGATTTAATATCCATCTGGAAAACTTTGATGTCTGAATGTATTGCTGCAATGCAAGCTGACAGGCTATCAGCTATCCTGTCTGTCTCTGATTTTTAATCTGTTGATTTCTCTTTTTTTTTTTTTCAGGATTCTTCCCCCCCTTGTTATTTAAATATGGTTTAGGTTATCATATATGATGTAAAAAGGATGATTAATACCAGTGTGTATGGTAGCACTTTTTCTATGCTGCTACACTTGTTGACGACATACCGAAAACCATCCCATGTGTTTCTTAAGCTGCCCCGGATGAGTGAAACTCTGTACACACTGATCATGACTACATTTACTCTCCAGTGTGAATCCTCTCATGTGTTTTCAGGGTTCGTGAGTGAGTAAACCTCTTACTGCAGTGTGAACACTTGTACGTTTTTTTCTCCAGTGTGAATCCTCTGGTGCCTTTTCAAATCTCCAGCTGTAATAAAAGTCTTCTCACACTCCAAGCACATATACTCTCTCACACCAGTGTGAATCTTCATGTGTTTATTAAGGGATGATGATTGGTTGAAACTCTTCCCACACTTAGGGCATGTAAATGGTTTCTCTCCAGTATGGATCCTCATGTGTTTAATAAGGGATGATGATTGGCTGAAACTCTTCCCGCACTGAGAGCATGTGAATAATTTCTCTCCAGTGTGGATCCTCATGTGTTTATTAAGGTATGATGAGCAGCTGAAACTCTTCCCACACTGAGGGCATGTGAATGGTTTCTCACCAGTGTTGATCCTCATGTGTTCATTAAGGTGTGATAACTTCATGAAACTCTTCCCACACTGAGGGCATGTGAATGGTTTCTCTCCAGTGTGGATCTTCATGTGTTTAATAAGGTATGCTGATTGGCTGAAACTCTTCCCACACAGTGTGCATATGAATGGTTTCCTTCCAGTGTGGCTCATCATGTGTTCATTAAGGGATGATGATTGGATAAAACTCTTCTCACACTGAGTGCATGTGAATGGTTTTTCTCCAGTGTGGATCCTCATGTGTCTGTAAAGCGATGATGATTTGTTGAAACTCTTCCCACACTGAATGCATGTGAACGGTTTCTCTCCAGTGTGGATCATCATATGTTGATTAAGGTGCGATAATTGGCTAAAACTCTTCCCACACTGAGTGCATGTGAATGGTTTCTCTCCAGTGTGGATCCTCATGTGAATCTTCAGTTTGCATTTGCTTACCAAACTCTTTTCACAGTGAGTGCAGGTAAAACAACTCTTACCTCTCACTTTTAAAAAACCATTAGTCTCTAAATGAGTTTTGTCTTCAATATTGACATGATGTTCCTCCTCTTTATTCTCATCGTAGTCTTTAATTAGGTCTGAAATAAAAAAAAGTTCAGTTTTTAGTAAATCATTAAAATTCTCATCAAAAGCTGAAGTGAAAAGGCTCTAAAACATTGGCTACACAAACCTTAATTTTAATGCAAATTAAATGTAAAGACATAGCAGATCATATTTAGATTGATCTTGTCATATCAACCTCCTGGTGTCCATTACACACATACACATTTAAGCTAGCGCTGTCAAAATTAACGCGTTAACGCATGCGATTAATTTGAAAATGCGTTAAAAAAAAAAAAGAAATTAACACAGTTTTTTTTCCTGTTGTGGCAAGGGGCAGTTTCCCGCTGGGTCGACGTACGTTTTGGGCCGGGCCAGGGCCGAACTGGGACTCTTTTTCAGCCCTGGAGTTTCAAGCCTCAGACCGGCTTACATCAGTTTACCACTGACTATATTAAAATAAGGTTATTTCCAATTCAGTTTCTAATTACACTATCACGTTTTTTTTTTTTTTGGAGAAAACAGCTCTTTTAGAACTTCAAATGTTCAACAACCCAAACAGTATCATGTCTTAACAATAAAAATGAAAAAAAAAAAATTTAACCAAACGGTCCACAAGGACTGAACCCAGGTTAGCCGCGTCATAATCTAACGTACTAACCACAACAGCTGTACGTTGAATGGCGACTTATCTAGTTATATCATCATTAACCTGCAGGCTGCATCCTGCTCACGAGGCTACAAGAAAATAGATAAAAAGAGCAGAGCTGCGGTAAAATAATGAATAAGAAGGCTGTGGTCAAGTAAATAAATAAATTATTTTTAAAAAGTGTGACTGCTGAGAGCAACAGATTCTGGAACTAGGGACACCGGCCCTCGCGGCCAAAAAACAGATGATCATCTGGGCTCATCTTCTTATGATCTGATCGGCAAAAAACTTGGCAGACTATCGTGTTTTTCTGCCTAAGCGATTGACAATCCTTTGAGCTGTCACGCTCTGAAAGTAAGATGTTTCTTTTCCGGACAGAGTGGCCTTGTGACATAATCTGCAGCCCATTGGTTCTTTTCTTTATTGACGTTGGGCTGACCCAATCACAAACTTCCATGTTGTGCTATGTGTAACGTAGGTGTGTATTTGTCAGAATAGTCGAGAGTCGCACCTTATGCGCGAGTCCGAGGGAGAGCAGAAGCGGAGAGCAGGCATTTGCCATTTGCATCTGCGCTCTGCAGCATGCAGCGGGGCACAAATCAATATATTCCTGTCTATTCTATTTAGTTACCTCTCTGTCCATATAAATATACTTTTTTTTACTTTTAATCTCCACCCTGGCCCGCGGCAACTTCCTCCTATGCTGTTTCCTTAACCTGCAAGTCTTTATTTTACAAATTAAAAAAGAATGTCTGCTTCTAAAGCTCTGAGGAGTGTTATTCATGTATTTTAAGATGCACTCGGTCAGAAGACAAGCGCATGAGATATCATGACATTGTGTTTTTAATCATCAGCATGATGTAGGCTTATAGTGACAATAATATTTGTACAATATGGTTATAATAATATTTATACATGACCAATCTAGTGTGCAACTTAAGCAACTTTTTTTTTACATTTAGTTTTGTAGTTCGGACAGAAACAAATATTTGTTGCATTTTTTAATTGTTTAAGTTCATTTGATTGACAATGTAAAATCTTTTAGCAACGTTTGATGTTTCATTGTTGAGTTAAACATTTTTTTAGGGTCTCTGACACATTGCTTTTATTTTATTTATCTTTATTTTATTAATCAACATTAACTGTGCATCAGCATGCAGTTTTTGTTATGTTCATTATTTATTAGGCTCCCTCAAAACACACAGGCACCCACATTTCCAGTCTGGATTAAAATGTTATTGTAATAATAAATATTAAAGGGGTGGTCCAGAATGTAATTTTAAGGCTTGGTTGTGTTTATAAGATACAAAGCAATGTGTGCTTATGTTTCACTTGAAGGAAATCGCATAATTTTTTCATAGATCTCACTTTGATTATACACAGCTACTCAGCTAACATGAAAATGACTGTCATATTTCCTAGTTCCTCTAAAAGGCCCGCCCTCAAGTGACTCTGATTGGTCATCGTTATAATGTGCTGCTATTGACGGATCGGCTCCACTTCACGCCCATAAAACCACGCGCTTTTCTGCTGTGTAAACATGCAGTCAACCTCGCGCCCGCTCTCTAAAATAACATCTGACAAGTGTCTGTAACTAAGGAGTGAAAATGGGGTGCAGCTCCTTTAACAGCGTCTGTGTGTGCGTTTATGTGTGTGTGAATGTGTGAACTTTCTTTAGCAAGCGCATGTGCGCGGGACTTTCTTTTTCTCTGATGCTCGGATTAAGTTATTTTCTGTAATATATCGTGACAGAAGAATAAAGCACAAGATGTGAGATGCTACCTGTTGAGCCTTGATTTATTATTCTGCTGCGACCACTAGTCAGGTAAGCTAATCTGTATTTTTTTTTAACTCCATGCGTTACACGATGTCTTTCATGAGTATCCGGAATATGCCGGTGTAAGTAATATAAATCATCCACATATCTTTTGCAACTTTATTATCTGAGATGTGAAACACATGGAAACGCTGCCTGAAGACAATCAGTGCAGTCCCGTGCGCACACACATAAGAGACACGAACGTGCTGGTTGTGAGTGTGTGTTACAGCAGTTTGGCTGATAGATATGAATTTGTAGCTAAATCGTTTGCCCGCAAAGCAGCATTTTGCATTGTTTACATTATTGCTACAGCATACAGTTAACGCTAGACACTGTACATGTCATGATCAATTTTAACAAATAAAAACACTTACTTGTAGCTTACAACTTCTGCTTTGAGGAGATTTTAGCCGAATCCAGCACTGAACTGGGAGAGATTCTGGAGCTGTTTTGTCAAATTATGCTTGCTGAGTATTTTATAATTCTCTGGAAGATAATTAATATTGAACTGAAGGCACTTCTGTCTTTGTGTCGTGTCCTTTGGTAGCCCAAATACAGAAACAGACGAAGCTCTGTGGAAACAGCCGTGTTTAGACGCATTTTTAGCTTCATCTCTGCTATAACGTTACATTGCTTCTGGCCACGGCCCTTACCTGCATGCACAATGTGGGGTGCGCAGTAAACAAACTTGTGACGTCACAGGGGGCGGAAGTATTTTTTTGTAGTCCCCAAAATTCGTTCATTGTAGTCTTTGCTAAGCTAACTCTGTAAAAACCAAGGTCTCCCTTTCCATTGAACTTAGAACTTTTTACACTCAGAGACATTTTTTATGTTCACACAGCTACATTACACATCAACTAAAGTTTAAAATATGAAATCGTAGTGGACTACCCCTTTAAGCGTGGACGTTTAGTTCAGCTCATTCAAGTCAGGCTTTTGACTTTAATCCCCGCTTTTCTAAACCACTTTATTGAAATAGCCCCCTGATCTTTATTGTTTTAGAACTTCAGTTGCCTATTAGAGAAATGACCAGGAATAATAAACTGCAGAAAACAGTCTCACTACTTGCTCTACAAACAGGTGTGTTCATGACTATACATACAAATAAAAATAATAAAATGAGAAAATATGACTTTGCAACATCAAGCAGCATTAGGCATGGTCCAGTATAGGATACTGACAGTATAATAACCTAAAATATATTTTCTTCTGAGACACTTTTAAAATATTTTTGAGCAGTAAACATGTCAGGCTAAATCATTCTAATGAATCACAGATTTCTTTACGATTTAAAACAGCATCTTTGTTCTTCGGTCTGCAGGGCCCGGTTTTTCAAAAGGTTTAATCCGGATCAAATTGATCCAGATTTAGTAATTCTGTTTTTGCGATCCGTGATCAGGTAATCCAGCATACTTTTTGAGCCAGTTTTTCAAAGCAACATCGGATTGGATCATTCTGATCCGGATAGGAACTTTTCAGGATCACTAAATCTGGATTACCAGTGCTCAAACAGGAGAGGAAATCACAATGTAGAACTATAGATATGTAGAGTGACAAGTAGAATAGCCAGCAAGGGGCCAATATAACTTTAATTTTTGTTTTAATGAAAACTAAGAAAATTTAAGAAATATTAAATCAATAATAATAATAAATAATAAAAACAATAAAAACCCCACCCCATTCTCTTCCAGCAGTCCGCTCATCTGAGACCTACAACACAAATACTGTACATTGAGGATATTTATAATAAGTTTTAAATATAGATTTAAATAAAAAAAAAACTTAATGTCAAAAACTCCACAATAAGTTCAGACTTCCTTATCTGATGTGGAGAGAGCAGCTTGTCTGAGCGTAGCCTTTAGGAGGCGGATCTCAAGTCTGGCCTTGGTTTGCTGCAGCTTGGTCAGAGTCAGTTGTTCCTCTGCCAGATAAAGCTGTGCGTCTGCTCTTTCAGTCTCTTTTTGCAATTGTTGAAAGAGATTTCAAAAATCAGTCATTGCCATTTTTTGTTTATCCTGTAATCATTGCTATCATCACTAATAAATATTCTAATAAGAAAAATATTTTCCATTGTGATGAATATATATATATATATATATATATATATATATATATATATATATATATATCAATTAGAGACAGAATAAAATTGATTGTTTTTGGTAAATTTTCACAGCTGTTTGGGGGATTATTTTATGAGGCCAAACTCTTTCTACTTTGCTGGAGGCCTATACAGAAAGGCTAAATACGTTAAAGCCAATAATCACTATAGCCTGACAGATGAACAAATAAAATTAAAACCTTATGAATAAATAGTATATCTATACTGCATGATACAAAAATAGTATTATTTAATAAATTTTTTAAGTTTTCATTACATTTTAGGCATGAAATCCACGCTAAATCCACCCTTCTGATGGGATCAGTTTAATCCAGGTTTTTTGGATCATTGTGATCCAGATCCTACAAAAAAGGTCTGAAAAACCCAAACTAAGGGTTTGATCCGGATCAAAACCAAGATTGGATTACGTGATCTAATCCGATTAGGTAATCCGTTTTTTCT